TTAAGATGATATACATTTTTGTTGTCTTGAAATACCGAGACCCGAGACCCGAGATTCGGCACTCGGTAGTCGGTGAAATGAGTACAGAAATACATAAGATAATACACATTGTTCTCAGAATCACAAGTTTCAAATGTCGATTTGTAAATCACGAGTCACAAGTCTCGAGACTCGAATCACCGAGTACCGAGTACTGAGAACCGAGTACTGACACCCGACACCCGGAATTCGGCACTCGGCATGCGAGACAAAAGATTGGAAACAAAACTCAAAATTCGAAACTCGAAAGTACTGACTACCGAATACCAAGTACCGAGTACCGAATCTCGGGACTCGGTACTCGGTATTCGGTACTCGACACGATGCTCGAAACTCATAAAACTGTTTCGAATCACCAAGTACTGACTACCGAGTGCCGAGACCCGAGATTCGGTACTCGGTACTCGGTAGTCAGTACTCGGTGATTCAAAACAGTTTTATGAGTTTCGAGCATCGTGTCGAGTACCGAATACCGAGTACCGAGTCCCGAGATTCGGTACTCGGTACTCGGTACTCGGTAGTCAGTACTCGGTGATTCGAAACAGTTTTATGAGTTTCGAGCATCGTGTCGAGTACCGAATACCGAGTACCGAGTCCCGAGTACCGAATCTCGGGTCTCGGCACTTCGGTAGTCAGTACTCGGTGATTCGAAACAGTTTTACGAGTTTCGAGCATCGTGTTGAGTACCGAATACCGAGTACCGAGTCCCGAGATTCAAGTGCTTTCGAGTTTCAAGTTTCAAGTTTCAAATCTGTCATCTCAAGTGCCGAGTGCCGAATTCCGGGTCTCGGGACTCGGGACTCGGAACTCAGTGACTCAATCAATGGACTGGCAGAGGTTACATTCATTGAAAACTTGTATATACATCTATCACTATGCAATTATGTAGCCATGTCAACCTCCACAGAAGACTCTTCAACCTTCACCTCCACCTCAACATCCATGTTGCTGGAAGAGTCATATTCTGGGACAAGGTTGCTTGGATAACCTGGGTCCACAATTTCGCCAGACGCATCTGGATCCCCTGGATGAACAACTTGGTTGTAGTCGAACAGGAGACCCTCAATGGCAGAGGCATCCGGGAATGTCGGGGCTGCGGGTGTGGGAGCCATTGTTTCCATACTGAGATCAATCAGAGGAGGGAGTGCGGATTCTGGGGGTGACATGGTGGGGGGGGCCGGATTGATCAAGCAACAAGGATGTTGCAGGGGCAGGAGTGTCGGGAAGTGGGAATGAGGGGTGCCGGTCGATGATTTCGCGCCTAAGGCCTTCATGAAGGCGTTGCAGGGTGTCAATCTTACCATCCTGCTCTGCCACACGAGCCTCCAGAAGAGCGATTCGAGCTGCGCCATCTCGAATCGCAATGGACATGGCATGGAGATCTGGCATGGGCACCCCAAGTGCTGCAGCAGGGACTGCCGACCTGGAAGACGGAAGGGCTACAAGGGAAAATGAAGGTCAGACGGTGATGAAAAACTCGGGTGACTTACGAGCTGGTGCAGGTGCGGGTGCAGGTGCAGGTGCAGGTGCAGGTGCAGGTGCAGGTGCAGGTGCCTTGACGGCAGTGATAGTCTTGCTGCGACCACGCGTCTGGGTCTTGGGAGTGGTCACAGCAGTGACACCAGAAGTTCCGGCCCGGCCACGAGACTGACTGCGAGTTCGGGCCCTGGACTGGGAGGCAGGGGAAGCTTTGGAGGGGGCGGGAGTTTTGGATGCGGGGGGAGCCTTGGAGGGAGTCTTGGAGGAAGCCCTGGATGGTGTTCTGGACCTCGTCTTCCGGGTAGTAGAGGAAGAACGATCGCGAGGAGGCGGGGATCCCATAGTCGCGGGGGTGCACTTGATCTTCTTTGTTGTGCAGTAGACGCACGACATACATGGAGCCCCGGTCCTCTTGTCCGGCCGAGTTGCGCAAGGCCAGTTGTGCTTGTGGCAAGCATAGCATGGGTTGTTCTGTTGGTTGTATTTGTGTATGGACACATGAGATATTTCAAAGTACTCACCGGTCCGGGAATGAGAATGTCAACTGCAGGGATGACTGGGGGTGCCTGCACCGGAGGTTCGGGAGTGGGCTGGGAGGGCTCCACAACTGCTGTGTGACTGCCGGCAATCACCTGGTATAATGTAAGCACCCACCCGAGTCCCGGACGCATAAATGACACTTACTGTGGCAGGGCCAAAGGGCTTCTTCTTGGGTACCCGGGGCGAGCGAGGCGAATCAGGCGTCCTTGCGACAATTGTGGAGAGCCGGGGAAGGACGACCTCCGGCACTCCACCCAAAGGTGGCTACACGAAAATGAGAGACAATGAAAAAATGAACATGACGACATACCTGCATAACCGAGTCTTCATCATCTTCCGACTCCACGATGGCCTTGGACTTCACAACGCGAGCAGACCTCTGACGCTTGTGACTCTTCATCGCGGATTTCGGGGGTTGGGAGGAGGGTCCAGAAATCAAGGGGGACTTCCTCTTCTTACTCCCTTCTGCCTCGGGGTCTGGGTCAGCGAAGACGGCCTTACCTTTCCCCTTGTCCCGGGACTCGGTGGTGGGGTTGGTGGAAGGGCCGGCGACATTGCCGGCAGGGATGGCTGGGGAGGGAAGGTTGACAGGAATCGGACCTGTGGATGGGGGGGGCAGCAGTTGGGAGATCGAAGGTCTGGTCGCCTAAGGCGTTCCAGGCGAGGACCTTGGGGTACCAGGCGTGCCTCAGAATGCGAGGATCGTCATACCCGATGGAGTGCCAGTCTGGCCAGACCTTGGGAACCATGTTGCGGATGCGCTGGAGCTCTTTGGAGCATGAAATGATGAGGCCGGGAATAGGACCATCCCCGGACCCATACTCCTTGGCTACATCAGACTACCAAGATGTTAGAGAAGAAAAAGCACCCAAAAAAATACATACCACAAGTGTAGCAACCTGTTTTCCCAAAGCCGAGTGGCTGGGACCCGGGGGAATCTGCCGGGCGGCACTGATGATGGCCATGATCTGGGCAGCGGATGCCTTGAGATGGGTCAAAGAGTTGTCAACTGGAGTGGACATGATGAGTGGGTTGAGAGATTTAAAGATCTTGAAATCAGATTGAAATCAGTTATCAGAAAGATGAAGTTTCAAACAAACAAGACATTTGATGGGCGATCCACAAAATCGTTTATTGTTTGTGTTTGTTTGGTCGTTGTTCAACTTTCGGCAATTGCCGGCTTTGTGTCGAACTTCGAAGTTTTTTAGATCATCAGTCAATCAGTCCACCAATTCTCCACACATGAGTGCCCATCCAGCCGTTAGATTTAATGACCCACCGGTGACCGACCATAATTCTATGGATGTGGATGACTCATCTATGGGCCGGGCATCACTAGGTATGTTGTATTCTTATCATGCCTTATCTATTCACCGGGTATCCCTTAGATGACTTAGATGACTTATACCTCGGGCCGGATGATGACATAGAATATGATTCTATGTCATCCGGACCCCCGGATGCGTCGGCTGCAATACCCGGTATGACTATACATTACTGATGACCTGGGATCACCATGCATGCTAACTTCACCCTTGAAGATCAATCACATCCGGGTCAAGCTGATGATGCCAGCTGTCTCATTGATCCAGACTTGTACCTCGGGCCTGAGGATGATGTCATTGATGTTGATGAGTTGCTGGACTCTGCTGATCCTCCCACTTTTGCTCCGGCTACCTCAGAGGTGTCTATTTCATGTGGGTCCATTCATTCTGGACCATTATGGAGACTGATCTTATCTCCCAAGCCGACAAATCATCTACCGAACTCCCTGGAGACCAGCCGGAGCTCAATATCGAGGATGTACGGTTGATGGTCCGGGAGCTCCATCCTTTCGGAAAATACCAACACCCAGAATGTGAGTATCTGAAAGCAGAGCAGTGATCTTTGAGCTAATCTTTCTGGAAGACCAATCCGTCCAAGATCGACTCCATGATTACAAACGCCGTACTGGAGGTCTTCCTGACCCTTCCATCCAACAACTAATCGAGGCCGAGCGTACAAACCACTCCTCATCCCGCCCCGACATCACAACACTCTCATCCCGCATTGCCTCCACATCTCCTTCGAAAAGTGCTCCATATTACGCCGGTCCCTTCTTACGAGCCACTTGTGCTTGTATCTCGGGAGGAGGAAAGTTGCTGGGACCATTCTTCGGGCCGTGTCTTTCGCCTTCTCCAACTCTCATCATCGGACAATTCAGCCATGACTCTTTTTACAGCCGCCTGATAATGCTTGAAACATACCGGGCCTCCTGGCTTTGCCCCGGACTCGTCCTCAATCCTCTTCAGCACCTCCTCCCGTTTCTGCTGTAGGTAGATCACGCTGCCTAGGAGTCCATTTCCTCCCATACTTTATCATGTCCTTCCTCTCCTTCTTTTTCTGGTTGTTGAACAACCATGTCTTGTACATCTGAGAGTTCATGGAAGAATAAGATGTTAAAATTTTAGTTTTGAATGAAGCAAGGATGAATCACCTGCTTCCTCTTCTTCCATTGTGCTTGGTCGACCTTGGGACGGAATAGCTGGCAGCCCTAAGCTATGGCAGTGAAAACTGCCCTCTTCTCAATCCTTTTCGCCGAAGTCCACTCAGGAAAGGGTAGTTCTTCAACTCCGAAATTTCGTTATCCGTGAGCTTCTGTGTCTGTGGTTGACGCGCCCTATGTCTTCCAGAAGTGGAAGTCAACTGAGTGGAATGACCTGATCTTGCCATTGTGAATGAGATTGCAGAAAGGGCTGAGGATGAGCAAGGTGGAAGTAATAACGGTGACAAGTTCAACTTTGAGCAAAGCCTAACAGTTGGTTAATCGACCCATAGTGGACGCAATTCCATTATTGGAAATGAATTTGTAATGACGCATCAAGCCCGCATAAGATCACATTGCAATAACAATTTATTCGCATTCCTGAGCTCGTGCTTTGCTTGCAGCCTTAGAAAATAACATGAAGATAGGTAGATGCACCCCACTGCAAAGATCCCACAGGGTAGAAGCAAGGGGAAGCAGAGGTAGGAAAATTTGGGTCAAGGTCCCACTTGCAAGCACAAAAAGACGTGCATACAGGTCCATGCCTAGCTCTCCCCCAGAATCACCAACACTTCGGCCTGTTGAGGCACCACCTCTTTGGGAAGACATTCCTGACAATACTTACGAGCAAGACCAAGGCTCATTTGAGCCTTTGCAACTCCCAAAAACCATGGCAAGTTCATGTAAAATGTTGCATTGCAATTCAAATGATAGCTAAGTATAACAAATCCAGAGTCAGAATGACTACCTCAGGCAATGGCTGCCAAGGCAGAAATCATATCTGCATCACCTCCTGGATCGAGAAGCTCCACCAGAAGATAGGAGATGCGTCGTCTGCGACCAGGATGGGGTCTACAAATGTCAAGATTGTCTTGGGGAGCCACTCTATTGCACTGGCTGTTGCAGAAGTCAACATCTTTGCAATCCCTTCCATTGGATCAGTCAATGGAATGGTCAATTCTTTGAGCAAAGTTGTCTCGCTCACGTCGGACTCGTCATACACCTCGGTCATGAGGGCAAACAATGTCCGGTACTTACGGATAGGTGGGACTTGTTCGAAGAAGACGAACCGGAAGACCAGCTTGAGCCTGAAGATCTACCATCTGTGTCGGGACCCGAGTTCCAGCCGAAGGAAAACACCATGGTCATCATTGACAAGTCCGGAGTTCATCGCCTCCGGGTTCGATGCTGCGATTGTCCAAATGCCATGAGTCCAGACCTTCAAATGTTTCGACATGGATTTTTCCCCGCTTCATTTAACAAGCCGAAGACTTTATTCACCTTCAGGGTTCTCGATGATTTTCTATTGGACAACCTTGAATGTGGGACCTCGGCGATGAACTATTACAGCAAGCTCCGGCGAATGACCTCGAGGATGTTTCCACACCTTGTACCGGTAATGCCATGTCTCTCTCATCTAAAGGACATTATATTGACAAGGCATGGGGCAAGGACCGATACCGAGAGCTCATGAGAGTCGCCCGACAGTGGAGGCAGTTGAAGACGATGAAATGGCATGGCTTCGGCCATTGTTCCGACAGCCCGAATGCAGGAGATCTCGCATTATTTTGCCCGGCATGTCCTCAGCCTGGGATTAATGTGTCCTTCTCAGGGGATGAATCACTTGATGAGTGAGTCTTCCTCGATACCGAAGTCACCTCAGCGATAATAACAACTCCAAGGTGGAAATACACCCGGTCATTTGTTATGGATGGAAATTTCAAAGCTGAACACCTGCATCCCATGAAGCCATTTGATGAAGTTTGGCTGTCAGATGGGTTGGGATTCATGGTGGGAAAGGACAGGTATAACACGCATCTTGCAGAGGCTGCCGACACTTTAGAAAAATCAAGCTGCAACAATCACCGGGCAGTAAATCAAGCAAATGCGGCTCGGCACAAGCTGGAATCCACGGGTATCGGGGGAGTAGCCTGTGCGAGACACGGTTGCTTTGTTCCTCACTCGATGGTAGATTTTCAGAAAGGCGAAAGGCAAGCCGACCCAGCCATTCGATATTCACGAGTTAACCATGCATCATTCGCAGACAAATGAACATGGACTATGCCCTTTGTGAGGCTGCCCGGCACAACATGGAAGGCATCACCAGGGCGGTCACCTTCTATGATATCAACTGTCAATACAACAAGCACTTTCGGGTTCGGGTGGATCGAAGCCGATTTCTCGAAATGGTTCCGGAATTGACCATCATTCCCGGAATCGGGTTGTGGCACATCCACGGACATCAGGACAGCTGCTATGTCCGATATGCGTCGAATTTTATCGAAGGCATCGGTCGGATTGATGGAGAGATCATGGAGACCCTATGGTCACGTCTCAACCTGATTTCCCCTGCTGCTCGGGGAATGTCATCCCCGCATCGAAAGGAATGTCTCGATTATCAGATGAATGATTCCAATTTCTGCAAGATGATCCGCATGAAAAGGACCCTTTGCCGAAAATACAAGCAGGCGAAGAATGGCATTGCCGAAAGTGAAAAGGCTTTCGACATACTCAATGAAGCAGCACCCGGCGATTCAAAGACAGAGTGGCTAGCCAGCGAGAGGATCGCTCAGTCCAGCAGAATAAATAATCCTGCGGCTATGGATGTATATGAGATTAATATCAAGAAGGGTTAGTTGACTTTGTCTCCATCAAAGTCTGAATTAATTTTGCATTCAGCACCGAGCAAAAAGGAGATCGAGCTTAGGCTACTAGAGGAGGGTAATGCCCGAAATGCAGCACCTGCTCGCAGGTCTGTGGCGACATGGATATCAATGGGGTTGGCGATTGAAGAGGCTCAAATCGCATTGCTCATCGAGGTCCGAAGATTGGTAGAAGAACTACCGAGACACAGAAGTTAGACATCGCCCGGCAACGCGATCGTCTCCAAGGCCAGATAGATGGATTCACTCGGTCTGCTATTACGCATCTCGGAGAGGGATTTGATGCAGATGATGATCCTGAAGACTTGTACTTGGACATTCTTGATGATCTCGATGATGACTTGGCAGACTTCACCGAGACATCTGACACATGGGCAAACTCCCCTGAGCTCACTGTAATCCCATTGCCATCAAACCTCGGGGTAGATCGATGCAGACGCTGTATGGCAGACGATCTCATTCCGCTGGAGATGTCTCTTCGTGAAGGGCAGGCCAATGACTCCCTTCACAACCTCCGAATTCACTTGTGCAACAAGGCGATTCTGTTTCGAACAACAGTTAGGCAAGCCAAATCCCAGGCCCTGAAAACTCGAGCTTGGTCCCAGGTGACGTCGGTGCAGCAGGCGTGTCCCTCCATGCCAGTTATATACGAAGACGAGGAAGCAAATGATGCAACTGGAGCCAGGGCAAGACCAGGTTCAGAAATACAAACCCCTGCTTCGAGAGCAACTCAAAATCAGCACTGCCGTCGGCGATCCAAATGCCCGAGGTCAGCGAAACGAGTCCCTCGCTTGGTTCTGGTCAGTCGAAGTCGACCTTGGGGGTCCCGATCACTCGTGGAATGAGGAATGTGAGTTCGGGCATGCTTGATGTGTCCCGCGCTCAGCTGACGGAGTCATCCGAAGTTTACCGAGTTCATTGGCTCCGGGCAAAGGCACTACGGGATCGATGGAAGGAAGAAATGATGTTGGTCCAATTGGAGATGGATTGGACATGTAACTTTTTCTTGTGGAAAGCAACCCAATGGGGTGACAGGATGCGAATCATTGGTGAAACACCTTCCGGGTCATGCATGCTACTCGGGAAGGCAATCCCAAATGTATTCATTGCTGGCACAGGATGCCCAGGCAGCATTTCAAGACCTGAAGACCGGGTTTATAGATGCTCGAGATGAATGAAATTTTTTTGCCAACGATATGAAACAGCTACTTTGACCCAAACATTTTAGTCCCGGGAATTGGCCGGGTCGACCCATGTCGGAGTTTGAAAATTTTTATCATCAACCAGTGGCTCATATCTTGACCTCCGAACCAACTGCCATTGTCATTGTCATTTCCAGCTTCATAATCCTGCATTAACCATGTCTGTATTGCATACTCCCCCAACATCCCCTTCTAATTCTCAGACTTCCGGCAATGGGTTCCGACCCCTCACACTCACTCAGGCAGATATTGCAGAGCTACATGTCAATGGCTGCATCTCGCA